AGAGACAGAGCTAGAACAGAATTATATTCCTATTACTCTGAAATTTCCTCCTTAATTCCCCCAAATCAGTATAGACTTGGGTATTTTATATTTCTACTCAGTTACCTAGATATGTCCAGCATGAAAATTCTGTGAGATCCAAAGCTGCTCAGAGTCTGCATGAGGTTCCTCATTTACTTCAGACCTAGCGGACCTGTGCTATCAAACATATGGAAATATAGAAACTCCTCAACCTGTTTCTCTTTTGGGGGATTTGCACATTCTGTGGATGGATCCCAAGTTCAGTTCTGCAAAGCCCAGCCGCAGGAAATACTGGTTCCCCATTTATTCAATGGCAGACCAGAAGGCTCAAACAGAACCTGCGTTCTGCTTTAGGTATCTTTAGAATACATGTCTAATTACTCATATAAATAGTCAATAATTAAAATCAATATTCACGGTGTTTTTCAAAAGTTTTGCAAAACATGAAAATAATCCTAGCGGATTTGCCAGATAAACAACACTCGAGAAGACCTGTGCTGTTAGCCACAGCCTTTAAATTGTATTGGTTTAGTTCATCATTACTGATCGTGCGTACTTTATCAAATTTCATGTTTTAGTGTGCTTTGCAAATATTTAGTTTGGAATCAGATGCTAAGCAAACAGTTATTCTAATGTTTTTAAAAACTGATGAGGCTGGCTAAGTTACGCTGTTGAACAGGTTCTGAATGCAGTCCACAGAAGAAGCTGCCTCTTGAAATGACACTTTCCAATGCAATATTTTTCAGTAGATAAATTTGTAGCAGAGTATTCATATACTTCATGTATTCATATAAGCAAGCCTTATTTTAGGCTATTTTCCCACTTTTCCTACTACTGAATATCTTATGAAATTTAATAAAACTATATCTGAAGCGTATTATACTGTTTTTGCTTACCAAATGCAGTGCTCAACTATAATTCCAATGAGGAAAAAATGTTTATGAAAAAAATGGTATTTCTATTATTATATTTCTAAAATGCACTATTACTAATACACTGTTTCATCTGTACTGTTATATAATTGTCAGGACAAATAATGTGCTGAGTGCATGGCCAAACTGTAAATATTCTAGCAGACTTAAAAACTTAATAGCAGTAGGAAAAGAACATGACATATAAACAGTCTTTCCTTCTTTTTCCTTCCTTCCTTCCTTCCTTCCTTCCTTCCTTCCTTCCTTCCTTCCTTCCTTCCTTCCTTCCTTCCTTCCTTCCTTCCTTCCTTCCTTCTTTTGTTTTGTTTTGTTTTTTAGGTTTCCATGCTGGTTTCCAGCACCAAATTTTAAAATTATTCTTGAATTAATAAATATGTCCTGTAAAAATGTAAAAATATGATTCCCATCCTTATATCACTGAAACAGTGTAATAGGCTCTTGTAGTTAGAGTTGGTTGGGCTTTCACTGCAAATAATATGGAGCAGCTTCTGCTTTCAGCTCAGTAGGGACAGATTGGGGTAATTCATCCAAAGATAATAAGCCAGATTCCCAGCCTGTGTAAGTTGTATGGTTCTACTGATTTCAATAGTGCTATGCCAGATACGTATCAACTGAGCATTTGGCTTGATGCTTGAAGTCAACAGATTACACTAGTAGAACTGAGAGCAGAGTTTGGCTGAAGAAATTAGGCTATAAATACAGAAATTAGTAGTGTAATTTTGCATTATTGTTGGTGGGAGGGACTATTTAGAAATGAACATTTACAATGGATGAAGACCTCTCTCTTTCTTTAAGTGAGGAGCTATGTGTGACATACAGGGCTTGTCACGGTCTGTGTGTGTTGGAGCTACTGAGGTAACTGCCGTGTAGGCTGGTCACGGCAGAGGCTGTAGGCCATAGCGTTCTCCTTCTGCAGCCCAGGCAGTCCCTTTCAGCCCCTCTCCTCGTACGTTGTCAGTGTGTTGGAGATGGTAACTAGAAAGAGTCCAAGAGAAGGGCTGAGCAAAAGCAGATGGCATCTGGGAGACGAAACTCTTAGAGGCCCCAGCCTCCTGCTGAGGCCAGTGGAGCTGCTCTGTGGACAGCGAGGATGGATGGATGTAAATTCTGGTGGTGGGTGGCTAAATCGTCAGGCCTGATGGGGATATGAAACTGCAACTTTACTCTCTGCTTGCATGTATTTTGCAGTGTAATTCTAGCGACATAAATACAGTTACTCCTGATTTAAATTCCTGATTTCAACTGAGGAAACGTTTATTTCCCATAAACTGCTAACATTGATAGTATGTATGTCTTTCAAAGAGGTTCCAATTTTTATCTTTTTTTTTTTGAGTGGCTTGAGTAAGATCATATTAAATAAATTAATAAATAAATTGAGAGGTCTTCCAGCTTTGTGGTCTACACCTAGGGCAGCAGACCATGCTAAGATGATGGGAATCAGGAAAGTCAACGTGATGGTCATCAAATTCAATATAAAAGTCTAGGAAAGCAGCAGACTAGTTTTAAGGAAACTAATTAAACTTTTTTTTTTTTTTAGAGTGTAAAACTGTTTAGCTATTAATATGAAAAACAAGTAGATTTAGGATTGCTAATATTAGATGATGCATGTGCAGCAGTGAATTTTCATTGCTGTTTAACTCATTTAGAGGGGCTGTATATACACTCTTTTATTCACAGAGCAGTAATTAACACTTTCCACTTTCTAAGTGTTTAGACTGCTTCTTTTATCAACATTTAGAAATCTTAATCAACCAAACATTTGGAGGAAGCTCCTCAGCTGTCCTAAATCTTTGTGGTGGCAGAGCCATGATCAAAAACAAGGTGTGCTGAGCCTGGTAGCCAGACAGGCCTCACCACGTAGCGCTGCCCTTGCCTGCAGCTCTCACTTTGATTCTCACATCATGAACATCGAAGTGGCCTTTTGGCAAGGTTGTTCTTTGATTTTAAGTAATCATGAATTAAGTTAAATATGGATGGCAAAAATAATGTTATTGCAATATTGGCATTGCAATGAACCAATATTACAATAATCAATACTATGTAAAGGAGACTGAAGTTATAATACAACTGAAATAGCTAACCTATTTTTCATTGAGTTTTGGGTTTATTATATTTGAAGAAAGTAAATTGTACTTAAAGGAAGAAGATCTTCCAAAAAAGTTTAAATATAACTAGCTATTTCTAATAACTCAAATATCACAGCAATTTACCGTGAATATAGGGCATGCTATCTTTGTGCTGTGAAACTGTGCTTTTCATTCTTATCAGTGACTGTTATTTGATTTGTTGCTATTCAGGATTTATTTTACAAGAAATATACTCCTTTTCATAATAACTTTTTTTTTTCCAGACTCGTATTTTCCTAAATGCATGAAATGTAGCATCTACCCATTGCACGTTCATAACAAGCTAAAATTACTGGTGGTTAATTCTTAAATGTTTAAATTGAAAGTGTGTATGTGAAAAAGGTGATATACAATATCTTAAGATGAATAAAGCTTTGATTAAAAAATGAGAAACCTAAAGCCCTAAATTCATTGTTCATTGTAGTTATTATTTTTAAAATAGCAAAGTCTTCAAATTATTGAGAGACTGAGAACTATCTAATTATTATGTGATTTTTTCAGTGGTTTGGAGCATTAATGTGCAAGGCTTCTCATTATGAAAACTGAAAAATTGTGGTTTATGAGATACTATTGAGCCCAGTTCTGTGAAACTAATTTTATTTGCTCCTCGTTTGCAATGGATCAAAATGAGTTTAAAATCACAAAGCTTAACGGTCAAATAAAAAATATATTTTCATATAAGAAAAGGTCCAGGCAATTGAAGTGTAATGACAGAATTGGACTGCAATTTGCAATTCCTTCTCAGCCCTCACTCTCTAGCAAGTGCTTGCAGAGGTTGCACAACATCAGAAAGAGAGATTCTAAGCAGTCAGACTGGTGTATTTTTACCCTTCCAATCCCTCTCCCATTTTTCTTCAGTCTTTTTGCACAGTCCATCTTTATATTGTTTTTCTTTATTATTTTACCTTTCCAATTTTCCTCTGCGATATCTTTGCACTCTCTCCTATGCTCTCAGTCAAAATCATAATGGGCAACACAGACCTACTCCCTCCAAATCACCTACTCGGCAGAAGAGCTGGAGGATACAGACAAGTGAATTGCTGGGCACCGGTCCTGATCAATAAATTTATAACCTCTGCTCCTGCTTATTAGCTGAGGCTCAGTCCTGAGACCCTCCTCACTTGGTAGGATTTGGGGAAACCTTCTTCTTTCCTGTGCCCCTACTGATGCTGGGCTGGGATAAAGGGCCACACTATCACTGTGGTAAACAGCCTTTGCTCAGGCAAAAAATATTTTATTGACTATACCAGGCAGAGAATCAACTGATTTTTATGATACACAAATTTCTGATGCTGTCAAATGATGGGGGACTTAATCCAAGTTCTGCCCAGTTCTGCCCAGGATAAGTGGAAGTTTTTCCACATTTGATTAGGAAATTTAATCCACTGACAGGGGTGGGATATTTGCCTCAGTAGTGAGTGTGGGATCTGTCATGCTGCCTTGCTTAAAGTTTTCACAGCATGTTCAAGAACTGAAGTTATCAGCTTCAAACTACTTTGAATTGGCTACTTCATACAGGCCATTAAGGAAAATTCAGAATGGGAAAGTGGTAGGAAATGAACTTAGAATTCCTATAACAAATGACCGTGTTTTTAAAAATATTTAGCCCTAAAAGTCTCATGAGAAGACCTTCTGATTAATGAATGCTAATAACTGAGCTTAAAAAGAACTGCAGCAAATCCCGTACAGTTTTTGCACTTTGGAAATGGTACTGTTTTGTTTCATGTCACGTAAATTTTGTTAAATAGAGGAAACACTGCTTCCTTGGTGCTTTTGTTTTCCCCTCTGGATTGTAGCAATGGAGCACTTGCATGTTGTGTTTGATGCCTTGCATGACGAAGACATGCAATGGCAAGTTCCAGTCTGCATGCTGCTTAATGAATGTTTTCCTTTTCTCTCCTTCCCTGTTATGTGCTTACAGAAGACAACTATGTGGAAGGTGGGTGCTTTCTACATTATTTTCCTAAGCTCTTGTTTTTCCCTTCTGCTTAGTGTTCTTTTCCCTTCTGCTTAGCGTTATAAAGGTACACGTATCGTTCAGTACGGTAAGTTGCATTTCTCTACCCATAAAAGTTTACCAGTTTATTAAATCAGAGTGATTTTTTTTCATACAGAACAAAAGCAAAGGCTGGTTTTGATTCTGACAGTATTGGTGTAAGCTGAGATCTTCTCCAATGAAACAATGCAATTTATACTCATATAACTAGTATCACTCTTCACAATCATTCTGGAGATTTGCAGGAGGACTGATTTCTTCTCATGTTCTGTATGAAAAACATTCCAAGAAAATGTTTTTTCCTCAGTGTGGAGCATACTTTCGCCTCATAAGAATGTAATGCATGTTAAATACCTGTATCTTAATGGCTTAGGGAAATCTCTCTTTAATATCACAACTCTTGCTTACTTTATTATCCTTTTCTGCATAAAATTTTAGGGGGAAAAGGTGTATTTGTCAAACTTTTCAGCTTAATGCATTCTGCCTTTTCAACATTAGACTGGAAGAGGCATGTGATTTTAATGCTAATGTTGGAATGATAATTAAGTCCAGTTAAAGAAAGTAAAGCATATGGCAGTGGAAACTAAAGCACAATGCCTTCTAGCCTGAATATTGGTAAGTATATCTATCAGCTAGGAAAATGTGTTCATGTGCATATATACAATAGTTGTAAAAGCATATAATACTCTTTATAGATCCATTGTTGCGGGGAATCAATACTGCCTTTTTGTTTATAAGCCAAAAGGTGCAGGTGCCTTTTTACACATGTAAGCCTTTAAAATTCTCTCTGAGCTGAATCTTTCTGTAGTGGAGGAACCCCTGTCTAATTCAAAAGTGACTCTGTTTAAATTGTGGATGTTACATTTGTTTTTTGAAAGGCTTTTTGAACTACTCTGAAGTCAAGGGTTTTAAGGATTGCCTCATATTCCAAATGGTCGCCCTAGCATGGATGTGGTGCTTTCGGTATCGGTGCTGCCTCTACACTACCACCTACAAGGGCAAATAGAGGTGCTCAGATTTATCACCTACACAGTGCAGGGTGCAGGGAATTTTATAAAAGCATACGACACCAGTAGAGGAGACAAAATTTAAACAAATCCCATGCTTTAATTGTGCACATTGTAACTGGCAAACACATCAATACATTTTCTCTTTTATTGTGAAGTAAAAATGGCATAGACAATCTAACCAAAAAGCATGAAAGCCTGGCATAAGTATGTACTGTTATCACATTATTATGTTTAATCTGTACATAAAACTCTTGCTGGTGTCAGTATGAGATACAGATGTGAATTGGGATCCCAGTATCTCTTAACTGAGATACAATTTAATTTCCCATATTCATTTACACACAGTAGTACAAAGCCTGAAGACAGTTATTCCAGACTTTACCTTGATCTAATTCTTAAATCTGCAACCTTAAATTTATTTCAGCATACTTTTGGATATTTGTACTTGAGTTGAAGTTGTTGTACATGCAAGCAAAACTTATGTATGGAAAGCAGAATTTGGGAATTGAGCTATGATATTTCATCTTGGATTTCTGTGATATCTGAGCATCTTCCTATGTCAGTCTACATAAGAAAACGGAAGGATTTCGTATTCGTAGTTTAAATTACATATATTGCTGGTATAAAAAGGCTGCATTTTCTTTACTTGATTAAAACTGTGGAAGGATTGAACATTTTCACCACAGGTTTACAATGTTTTACATTTTTCTTAGCCTGTTATCTGCATGGAACTTACACAATAAACTATGAAAATCTATCATATCCACTGTCCATTCTGTGCCCCTTAGCTTCCTCCTCCTAGTACTAAGTTTACACTGTGATCACACCTGCATTCAAGAGATATTCCTACTAAATCTCTGATTCCTAATTCACAAAGAAAAGGCCACCATCAGTTTTGCCTATAAATTACTGGTGCGCGAATGACTAATTTTCATGTGTGGCATGCCTGTACATGGCTAGCTGTTTAAAGCTGGAATTTTCTATGAGTATTTATATTCTCTATTATGTGCAAATTATCATTTTGAAAATCTAACAGTGATTGCTGTCATGGTAGATTTATGTGCATCATTTTAACCACTTTGCAGATTGCACAGGTTCAGTAGTAGCAATGCTTAGCTATTCCATAACCTTCATTTGTAGATTGCAAGAAGATAAAATAAGGTAAGTAGTATTACGCTCATTTAAAAATTAGCACGCGTAAGCTTACTGCTTCACAAATAAAGTAATATAGAAAATAAAAAAAAAAACATGTCTTGAGTACAAGCATAGTACAAATTTTTTATAGGGATAGATGTTTGATTTGAGTGGTATGTGCTTTTTACATTTACTTGACTTTTTATAGTTGAACAGTCCTGTAAGTGACTCTTGAAATTCAAGTGGTTTCTATGCTGTTTTCAAGAGGCTCTTCTGCCGTTTAGGTTTCTCCAAATTATGTAAGAAATGTCTTTATGACTGGCCAATCTCAGATATCTTTTTAGCAAGAATAGAAGTTATCAGGGCTGTGGTAGTGTTCCTAAAGAAAGGCTTTCTTGTTAGGTTCTTAGCCATAAGAGAAGGTGGTTAAGTGCAAGAGATTTTATCTTCTTTATTCTCTCCTGGGAGACAGGACAGGGCTTTTCTTTGCATCTTATAAGAGCAGCCAGAGCTCACAAATAGCTCTAAAGCTAGGAGCTGCTAAAATTTAATCTTATTAAAGAAAGCAGGTTTAGAACCTTTGACCCACTTTATTTTCTCCTCAATACGGTTAAAGCTGTTTCAAAAGTCTGAGATTTCTTATGGTAGATGCCAATATAGTGCAAGAGAAAAATGTAAATAATCAGGTAAAGAGACTAATATTTTCAGGTCATGCAGCAAGAGGTTCAAGTAGTGAAGTTCAGCATTAAAAGATTCAAGTTTGACTACAAGATTAATGCTTCATATTTTTCAGTAAGTTTCAGTCGCAGCATCACTGGTGCAGCAAGAGTACATGTGAATCAATTTTTGTTCTCTTTCACCAGCCACAAACTGCAGCCCAGCTGTGTGATATTTCCACAGTAATGTTCACGTAGGTAGCTCTCTAGGACCTGCTTTCCTTTACATTGATGTAAGCCCCAAATAACTGCACCAGCTGAACTGTACTTTAGCTGTAAACAGTAGCTATTGTACAAGAAATGGGGTGCATCACAGGTCTTTTAGTTTAACAACAGATCTAAAAAGGGTGACATTAAAAGCACTAATTCAGGAAGCCCATTGTTAGTCTACCTGAAACATCACTTGAGATTTGAACTGATATGACATAAATCATTTAAGACTGATTGCAGTCAGAAATATCTTCTTTGAACTCTCTGAAATACTATGAGTCATTTGTGCACCTAATTTTCTTTGTGAATTAGAAATTGCAGGAACGCTCTAGGAAGTCTGCTTTCCAATAGAGAACAGGATATTTTATTGCACACCTTCTTTGTGTGAATTAACTTTGTGTGAATTAACAGTTTATTGAATTAACTTCAATAAACTGAAAATGAGATATAAAGCATCGTTTTTTGTAGTTGCTGGAGAGGAGGAGCACATGTTTATAACGTGAATAACTGTCAATGGCAAAAGTGGATCCTACAAAGAGCTAAATTCAGCAGGAGTAAGTCTGTTCTTTAAACACGACCTAAAATGTGAAAAAGCTTCACAGTTCTAGAAGAATGTTCCCCCTGCATAAAATTATCCTCAGGGAGAATGTGAGTGTCATTTTGTTATCATGCATTAAAAGCTGAATGTTTTTGGTTGAAGATTAATGAAGTTTGGCCATGATTGAGTAATTATCATTATGGACATCTGCTGTGAAATGTCACTAGAGGTTATAGGTCTGTGTTAATATGATTAGACTTGACCTCAAAATGCATTTATAAAGCAAAATCCTTTTCTCACAGATCTATGAAGTAGCCTCAGAAGCTGTCACTTATATTTTCTTTATTGCTATTTATTTTCTACTGCATATGTAATAATTTGCCTTCTCCGGAAGAAATTCATTCTGTTCTCATGTTTCACACAAATAAGGTGATGTCCCTCGCATTGTCATTTCAATGTGACAAATAAATTTTATTTAATTACCTGAAATGCTCATTTTTTATGAGGGGAAAAAGATCAGACCCAGCCCATTTTTCAGGTTTACACTTCTCCAGGTTTCTAATGACATTTAATGACTAGAGGACAGAAAATCCTCCCAGCAAAGCGTTCAAAGCAATATAATCAAAATACAATAAAGACAGATGGAATATTAAAGGAATTGGTTGGATTTGAAAGCATTTTATTATTTTCTGTCACTCCAACTATTACACAGAATAAATACACAATAAAACAGCACCCAGCGTTTGAATTGCAGTTCTATTACTTGTAGCCCAAAGCATTCCAACCAGTGGTTGAAAAATGCTCTTTGATTTCCCTCTGTGACACAGACATCTCATAGGAAACAGATGACTGTCACAAAACATTTTTGTCACTGTGACAAGACCACCTTCCCGTGCTCCCTTGTTCATTGCTGACTGTACTCTTGTTTCCCTTCAAGGTCTGGCGCACCTGATGATGGGCGACCAAGGTATGGGCTCTGTTCCTTTTCCACTCTGCTTTCATTGTTCCTTCTTGTTCTGTAGCTGCTTTGAATACATCACTGCAAATGATGGGCGAATGCTTGAAACTGTCTTTGGCTGCAAATAAACACATGGTTTTACTCACATCTTCCTTACTTCATTCTATATACTTTTGTTTGCTCTTTAAGCTTGTGTCCTTCCTGCCTCCTCAACTTCCTCTTTCGCAATAGAATAACTGAAAAGAGGTGAGAGAAATGAAAAGATGATTAAGAAAAGTTTGTGTATTGATCAGAAAATACATTTTATGGGTGAATGTGTAAAAGACAAACGAAGCACAAGAACATTCTTCGGATAGTTCCTGAAAGAAGATACTCAGCTTGTCCCATTATACACAATGAAGAGTCCATTTGCATTAATGCATGGCCGATTGGAAACTTGCAGAAAGCACCTGCTCCTGGCTTCTGGAATGCTGAGAATACAATCGTGCAACCTAATGAAATCAGTGATTTTTCTTCTTCTAACCCACTGTTCATGTTATGTTCTGTGTCACTCTATCATATCTGAGCATGGGTTACTTCTGTGTTTCTCTGCATGTACATGGAAAAAAAATAAACTAACTCCCTAATATGACACTGATTGCATCTCCATTTGTCTACAGACACTTAACCTTATACTTTTGTCTCTTTTCATGTTCAGATATTATTGCATTTACATATACTCATGACTCTTACTGTTTCTCTCTTTTATTTTCTCTTTGTCTGGAAATGCTTTCTTCATGGAACCATTTCACCAAATCCATAGGTAAAAGTAAAGGTACTACATGATTTTCCTTATTTTGAAATGCCATCAATATACTTTAATGTATGTCTAAGTAATGTGAATAAATGTAAACTTTTTTGTACTGAAAATGTGAGGTAGGCATATTTTTAAAGTAAATATTTCACGGATATCAAGGTAAGGAAAGGTGCCCTAAAATACAGGCTGACCCTTTTTTAAAGTCTGCCTTCTGTTTTCGTGAGGGATGTAAAGATTGGTACACGGCAGTGATAAAGGAGGCTACATCTGTAGAAAGCATTCAGGATGAAATAGGAGCCACATTTTGAGGTATATGTTTTTCTGCTCTCAAAGAGTTGTTGTCTAAACCACAGAAATAAGCATGATATGTTGCTCAACAGCAACTCTATAGAGATAAAATCTGTCCAGGGCCAGTCCAGAGCTTGATGTATTTTTACTCTGAATAGCACTGACTTCCACAAGTCTCAGCTTTCAGCTAATCACCTGTGTCCTAAGATTTTTCTTGTAAATTAATCACTTGGATGAATTATATCTGAGACAAAAATTGGACACAGGAAGAATGAACATCAAAGAGAAGTTTTATTTTGGATTTTTTTACTTTTTTTTTTTTGATGTAAAGAATATCAGCTATATTTACCTTTTACTCCATGCAGTTAAGTCTGGAGCAAATATGCACATTAGAGAGCAAACTTTCCCTGTTTAAATAAACACTAGATTTTGCTATGGGCATACTTGTTCACGGATTTCATATATATGCATCTTTATTATAAAAAATTGGTCATTAAATCTGTATTATAGAAGATCAGTAATACAGTTCTGTTCCTCCTACGCATTTGTCAGAGTGTGTCTGCTCCTGGTATTGATCAGAAAGCCAACCTGATGGTAATACTCTACTGAGTAGATAAGGTAGAAACAAACTTCACATATTCCTTGGAATCTTGGCAGCTTTAGTGCTTCAGAAGCTCGAAGGCCCATGTGATTCAAGTCTACAGTTGCAATCCCGTAGTGTCTTCTCCGTGTAACAAATTCTGGAGTCACTGTGCACCTGCTTATGCCTGTGATCATATTTAAAGGGGTTCTGGAGCCATAAATTTTCTTGTTTATGGAAAGTTCTAAGTGAGTAGAATAAAATAAAAGGTCTAGTAATGTGTTTCCTAGGACTGTTTTATCTGATGGTCTTTGCTGTGTTTTTCATAACAGTAACAGTAATTTGTCTTGTAACTGACTTTCCTTACTCAAATTGCACATATCTTGGGTGGAGTGCCATTTTATGGTACTTGACTATATAAATATTTTTTACTGTTCTTAAGGAAAAGCTTTTCTGTATTCCATACACAGGATGCATTATGTAATATGCAGTGCTGAAGATTTTTTGTATAAAAGAATACCTATATGAAAACATGTGAATATTATGAATACATATTAAAATTTATAGTTGATATGCAAGGCATATTTTAGAAGAACAGAAAGCTTGCAATTCTTATACTATGCGTAGACATTTGGGTTTTTAAATATTTTGCAATTATATTCAAAAATAATGACCTTGGATATACTAGCTACATTTAATGTTTAGTGATATGCAATATGACATAACTAAAACACAAGACATCAGGCACTAAAGTCTATTCATCTGACTACATTCTTCTCTTCATATTTTAGTCTTTTATTACATATATCTTGTTCATACGTGAATATCGAGCATATTGCTATGTTAATCATAACAACACACAACATTTTTTGGCAAATATAAACTTGTATATTTGTTCAAAAGGATGGAAGGGATTTAGATGTGTACCAACATCATTTGCCTATGACAAAAATTATCCCTCCATATGGGACCATATCTTCAAGCCAGTGAAGATGGCATCATTTTACTGACTATGTTGAAGCTATGGTAATTCCTATTATTAAAACATGTGACTTTGGAACTGCTGCGATAACACCCATTCATAACACATGATGGAAATGAAAGGTGACAAAAGAAAGCTCAGAATGAAATTCATTTGCAACTATTTCAATCTTTCAATATAATTTAAATTATTTTAGTGGTAGTTAAGGTCAATGACAAAAAATACTGCAGGATTCTGTGTGATTACATCAGGAATTATCCAATCTTCAATTGGAAACATAAGTAATAACTTTAAAAAGCTGAACTAAGTAAGTGTGTAAATGACTGATACACTGCCCACTTCTTTAATTATGTGTATGTATTCTTTGGGATGCAGGAAGAAGAAATATCAAAATACCTTCAGGATTAAATGCCTAAAAGACAGGATGGTGGTAGGGCAGGGACTTGGTGTTGGCAGAGAAAGGAAAGGTTAAGTAGCTCTTCCAAGACAGCAAGCAATATCTCAGTAGATGGACCTGCCACCTTATACTTTAGTTGCAAATGTAGCCCAGGATACTGTGAATGAATTCCCAAGACAGTTCCTTAATATTTAAGTATTATCAATATTAGTGAGGTAATTATGTAATCGTAACCATTAATCATTTCCACCTTACCTCATCAAAAGTTTAAGACCTCTCAGATGACAGAACCACAAAACAGTGGGAGTGGAAGGGACCTCTGGAGATCACCGAGTCCAACCCCTGCATTCAAGGTTGACACCCAGGTCACCAAGGTCCAGGAGGTTTCCCAGGACCATGTCCAATTGAGGGTTGGACATTTCCGAGAATAGGGATCCACAACCTTTTTCGGACAGCCTGCTGCAGTGTTCAAGTGTTTTATTATGAATAATAATATAACTAAGATGATACCGCAACATTCCTCTTCTTTTTATTTTCTTCTGGTAAGCAATGGGGCTTATATTTCAGCTACTACAGTAATAAATGACACCTATGACTTCTGTTTTATACTGCAGTTTTCTTAAACTTATGCATATTTTTACCCATAGATTGCTTCTATGTAAATATCCTATATCCTACTATTGGCTACGTATTTTAACCATTCCACAGCCAGACAGTATGTTCACAGTCCTGTTCTAGTGCTTTAGAGATTTAATATTGGTTTAAATTGTGATAGTCATTCAAGTCCGTAAGAAACTATTAAATGATACCTAGCTGTGCAACAAATGTTTCTACCAAAAGACTGATAGTACTGTAATTTATTATAGTAGATTATCGTGTTGGTGTGTTGGTATTTGGTATTCAGCATAAAAACGCTGAAGAAAGACTGCAGAATGTCAGTGTTCCTGTCCACTTCCCAGGCGATGCAGAACAAATCTTGATTTGCAGGAACTATTGTATGGTATCTGTAAACCCAAAGCAATTCCACTGGCTCTTTATTAGAGGAGAACTTCGTTGAATATGAGTCACAGAATTCAGATGAAAGCTTGAAAAATAAGGCAGTGTTAAAATAATTTTAATAAATCCTTAAACATTCATAACCATTAATGTAGTATGGCATAGTTTCATTATTGGTGTAGTTCTGTTTTCACGTAATAGAAATAGCAGCTTGCAGCAATAACTTTCTCTCACACCTAATTATGTGGAATTTTATTAACTTCAGTACAACCACGAGTTGGCCTTATTGTAATGCCTTTAATCTTTGTTCTTTTTTTCAGAGAACTAAAATAGCTTTGGCCTCCTACACTCACTGAAGCGGAAGACTTTTAAGAATATTATATGTTAAACTTACTTAAAAAAAAAAGCTTTTTTAATAAATTGAGGAACTTTAAAATGTAAAGTTCTTCAAATTATTCCAAAATCAGTAAATACATATCATATCTATTACATAGTGACAAAGTTTGTCTTTGATATTCATAATTACAGTTTAATAGTGGCTAGTGCTAACAAAAGATAATTATGTGTTTAAGTCATGAAATTATGTATATGCATATATGTTCTGATACATATTTATCCTTCTATCTTTAGATTTTTTGGTTCATCTCTTAAAATTTTCTTTCAGTATCAGATTGAAATATACTTTAAATGTTGTAATCACAGGGTAAAATATTTATGCATTTAAAACTTAACACAAATAATCTACTTGCACTTTACTGGATGATATCTAGCAAGCCTACACTATGGCATTTGGAGACGCAGATTCATCTCTGTCTTGAAATGTGATGGATTAATGTTCCCTAAAGAGGGTACAGCAGCAGAAAATGGCCATTGAAGAAGGTTCTGTCTAAAGTACATGGCTCAGAAGAAATCAATTAACATCAGGACCAGAAACACAAATTCTGTCTTGAGACACAAATGCCTGAATGTGTATCTGAGATAGCTGAGTCATGATCAGCAGTATGAAGAGAAATTTTAAGGACTTGCTGTAATATCAAAAAAGATATATGAAAAAAAGCTATATGAAAAGGGGGGGAATGCCTTTATGTTTTTTTAAGGTTATTTTCCAGCTTATGATATTGTTCAAGTCATGAGTTCTAGCACCTTTTCATCACTCAAATAAAATGTTTATCATATTCTAAATCATTCCAATGTCACACAAAAACATCCTTTTTATATGTGTGTTCATGTATGTGTAAGAACACATGTGCGTGAGCATATACATACACACATATCTGTATATTCTGGGATTCCTGTGGGTTCATTCTTGAAAAGGAGGGAAAATAAATGTGGGACTGAAAGCAATTTTATTACAAAAATTGTTTTATTTGTGACAGTGTAGATTTTTGCTGGATTTAGAAATCATTCTAGTATAAGATATAAAGATATATTCCATATTTTGGCTTCCTCAACACACTAAGTTCCAGTTGAGCTTACTCAATGAACAAAGATTTTACCAGCAGTGCACTAGCAAACAAGCTTTTCAAAAAAATATAAAAACTGTTTCAAAAAGGCATCTATATATTACAGGCCAAAAAACAAGAGGATGTTTTCTGAGGATGGGATTTTTTCTGTATTACATTAACAAATTGGAAATAAAACCTGCAGCAATCTCTATCTTTTTCATATAGATAAATCCTGTATGTATTTCATAAAAATTTCATATGCATCTTCAATGACATAGAGATTTCACACAGGCTAATGCCGTGAATATTCTGTGGAATATCCTGGAACATTCTGTACCAAG